ATATATATATAATATTACACCAATTACAATTGATCGATTAATTAAATTTGATACATAATTTTAATTGGATTGTATTAGACTGGATCTAAAATTAAGGGTTTAATTGTTGATATGACCATTCAAAATCTAATAAAACTGATTCCAAATACCATCCAAATTAAAATTTAACCTTCTTATTTGTTTTATTTTCTAAATTAAATGCTGATAATTTTATTAAACTAGTTGTGTATTTTAACGGTTTTGAAGTTTCACTGGTTTTATTAGAGATAATTTAACGATAATTTGAGTTACACTTGATCTTTACATATTAATACAATTTGAATAAATAAGAGTTATAGTTCCAATTAAGTCTATCGATTGAAAAAAATTGTATGACAGTTTAAAATCCAATATATTTAAAATCCAACATATTTAAACGAATTCACAAATTTGTTCGATTTACACCAAGAACAAAGAATCAAGAAATCGAGAGTGAGGCCGAGAGTTCTAGAGCAATTAAATGGAAAACTTTTAATAACTTATAATAAATATCAATTTGAATCTTACATTCAGGATGAGAAGAAGACATAGAGGTATGAGAGGGTGAAAACATAAATGAAATGTGTCAAAAGTATCTTGAAAACATGAAAAGAAAAAGTAATAATATGCATTAGTAACTTGTCATATATGTTATTTTAATTGTAGATTAAGATATTTTAAAATTGAATGCATAAAATAGTAGTACTTAATGCATTATGAATTATTTTTAAGACTTTTGTACATAAATATATAATATTTTATATATTAAAAATTATTTTTAATATTTTTGATAAATCTAGTTTATTAGATAGTATAGATTAATATTCGAAAATCTTCATCTTAATTTCCTATTAAAGGGTACGCTGTCTGGTCTGGAAGACCCACGATGATGCGTGACGTCTCATCCAACGTGGTAGGGCACGAACCGGTTCAAAACTGTGTGAAATCAGCCAAATCGGATAATCATTTATGGTGGTTCCTACTTTTAATAAAAAAAAACATACCAAACATAATAAGACAAGGAGCACTAAAATCTATTCCTTTAAATTATCGACTTGTATTTTAATTTCTTCTATTTTTAAACTATTTTTTAATTGTATTTAATTTCAAATAACAATTCTATCAATTCAATGTTAACCGAATCTTTGTTGAAAACCCAGAAACCGTGATAATTTTGAGAGTCAATGAATCATGTATTATTTCATATAATATATTATCATGAATTTGTTGTATTAGTTATTTTGTATAACACTTTTGAGAAATGTCCTATAAAAACAAATTTTTTTATAAAACATTTTTTCAGATAATGTCTTATATAATTACTAATACAACACTTTATTTAAAAATGTCTAAACTTATTAAAACATACTATAATCTATTGTAAACTTGATATAATTGCCAACCACATGCTTTAATGGACCACCAAACTTGACACTCCCACTGTTGATCTACATAAGACTCCCAACAACAAAAAGTAGATATCAAGGCATTTGATTGTTTAAAAAAAGACCAACTCAATTGTTCCATTAAAGTTACAAATATATTATATGTATATATTTCACCACTCAAAATGTCAGGTCAACATTTGTTCTTTGTCGTCGTTTTTATGATTTTTAATCTAAATTGTTTAAGATACTTTTTGAATGGTATTATATAAAAAGTTCGTTCAAAAAGATATGTAGACATCTCTTAAACCTCAAATACAGATCAATTAATTAAGTAAAAACTAAAAAGTATATCAAATATTTTTGTAATTTTATAAAAGATTCAGTTAAACGATAATAACTGTGATCATTATAATAAAAAAAAAGTTTAATTCAAATGGGTAAAACAAATTTTATACATATAAATGGAGTGCAAGACTTTGGTTTCAGTATTTTATAAAACTTATAGGTTCAAAAAACATGTCTATGAAAACGTTATATACAATCACTGAATAACGTGTATTGGAAAATAAGTTCAGAGTTATGAATGACAAGTATATGAGTTTTGGAAAATCGTATCTCTTCATTAACCCCTTCATAAATTAAGAAAACACTATGGTTCCAGGATCTGTAAAAAAAACAATCGACCATGCTATTCCAATGGCAAGGTCGTACTTATGGTGAGGCCTTCCCAGTGGTTACAAAAACAACGTAGAAACACCCACATAGATACCAGATTGATGGTTCCTAATCCAAGTTGATGTGTTCTTTGGTTTTGACATCTCGATCTTCATTTATATAACGAAGCAAATTTAACAAAGTTAGTGATGGGGACCCAATCTGTAATAAAAATCAAAACGAAGGTATTCACTTCATATAAATATTGAGGGATTCAATCCAATACTTTTCATATAACCACAAGGGCAAAATGCTACATAAAACCATATACCAAAAACAACGTAAGCATACAGCTTGAGTATATTGTCCTCTCATCCCATATATATCATCCCCTAAGCGATATCAAATGACAAGTCATCGACACCAAAAGAAATTCCTGCAAATTGTAAATTACCAACATCAAATTGCATACAAAAAATATTACTATATATTTTCTTTCATTTTCTTAGACAATAATTTGTGTTATATTTTGATTAATGTAGTTATGATATTTTCAGCAAAGCATATCAGAGATGACAACTCCTACAACATTTGTTCTTCAAATTGTTCCACTCGATGGTTGTGAAGGATGCACACTAAGGGTATGAAAGACATTTCGTAAACTTAGAGGTACATCGTGGAATCTAGGAGCTAAGATCAGAAAACTCGAAGTCTCAACTAACGAACACCTGGAGTAATCCTATATGCTCTTACTTATGAATTCCCTAAAAAGAGCGTCGTTTTGGTACAAGATTCCAGACCTCCAAATTCACCCTCTACTTATATTAGTTCTTCAGTAACTACAAATCGTAATGATATTAGTTCTTCAAATCCACCCTCTGCTGACATTAATTATTCAGTAACTCCAGATCCTAATGATATGATTGATGAAATCCAAGATAGAATCTGAAGACAACGGATTAAACATTAAAGGGTGTATGGTTTAAGCAAATGATATTGTTGAAAGTACGTCATTTATTTGTCATATATTTATTTTTGTAGGAAAGTTGTATTATTTGTTGATTGTTGGAGGGTTTAAAGTGTCATTTTCTAATGTTTGTGGACGGTTGAATCACATATAATGTTACACTAAAATCACGTGTAAAATTACATGTGATTCACACAACTTTGGTTGCAACCTAAGGTCACTGACCACGTCGCCCACACTCTCTTGTTTTGGCCGTTAGTATAAAATCATATATGATTTTATACGTGATTTGACCGTTTTCGTATTCGTTTATGTTGTTATTTTTCTCGTTTGAACCCCACTGGACCTATATCCAAATTCAACCAAATGATCTACTAATAATCAATTGTTGTTCTTACAAATAAAATGACAACTGTTAACATCCTAAGAAATTTGAGAAAATAAAATATTAGTAAATTATTTACCACCAATAAACTAATACAATAAATATAATGATGAGTTAATTAAAGGGTCAAATGTTGGGTTAGACAAACGTATTTTATATGTATTTTTTTTATTAACCTGGATATTCAACCTGCTATGCGAACCGACTAATTCCAGGACGACCACCTGCTTTGCAGATAACTCGGAATCACTGCATTTGAAACTCTGTGGCCACAAGGGGATTTTTATTCCTCCTTAGATTTGAACATGAGACCTTCTGATACTTTTGACCTTTGAAGCCAAGCTCAAACCAATCAGGCACCACTCTTGTGGTTTTATATGTAATTTTGTTTTCAATGCTTTGGCCATAAGATCTTTTCGTATTCCAAGTTCTAAACTTTATAGTTTGACCCTATTTTCTAAATCAATTTTGGTCAAACGGACCCTTTTTAATCTATCACCAATATATAACATTCATCTATTTAATCAATTTTGGTCTAACATGCCCGTTTTAAGAGTAAATGATTTTAATGGTACAACCACCCAAAAGGCATATTCCAATTTGGAGGGATGTCATATTGACGATCATCAACAAGTTAGATGTGTCAATTTTACTGACTATAATGAAAAATTAATGATTTTAATAATATAATCAAGATTTTAAATTACACATGTGAGACATAGATCAAATTGGTATATCAACCTGAAAGTCATAGACTCTATGCTCTACTGATCCCACGACTCGAGCTTTTTTATTTTTTTGAATTTCATTTGTAAATTGTAAGCTTTGGGCGTTTTCATTATGTTTCATCTTATACATGTGAGTAAGAATAGGTTGGTTGGAGTGACGACATTCTGTCACAGGTTTATTTCGTAAAAAAGGATAAAATGCAAAAATAGCAACTTATTTTTATAAATTTCTTTATTATAATATTATATTTTTTAGTTTTTCTTATTACAACAATTTATTTTTAAATTGTTTTTTATTAGACAATGTACTTTGAAAAATTTATCCATTATAACATTGGGTAACATTTTGATTTTAAATTTAGCCATGAATATGACAAGGATACTTTTAATTATCTGAATGTTGAATTTGGATAACTGATCTAATCTAACCCAATCTATGATTGGATTGGATTGAATTGATTCTATCAATTGGATACAAATATTGACTATGTATTGGATCAAATTAAATGCATACAATATTTCAAACCAATTATTCATATATTTCGCTTTAATACACTACTCATAAATCAATAACGATATAAATATACCACTAACATAATTTGCAAACGTAAATCATAAGAATACACCAAAATACCAGATACAAATATCGACTTTAGCAAGCGGTAATCTCAAAGGAGACAGCTTGAGTTTTTATGAAAATAAATCCTTCATGAGTGATACTTCGATAGTAATTGTATTGAATCGGTTCGGTTTTGTGTTATTTTGAACTGGTATCCAACAATCAACAGATCCCATTTGAATATTGAAATATCGGATCGTTCTAATCCAATTACTATTGGATATCCAATTCTGTCCGGTCGGTTGCAATTGGATTTGATGGTAGGCCACTGAATTCTGCAACATTCTTAAGTGCTTTCTTTTCCATCTCAACAAGTCGTCTGCAGAATGTCTCGACGTCTCCAGCTTCTTCCGTTAACACCAATCTCAACTCTTTCCACTCGCATTCACGAGACCCGACATCCGTCATGGGTCCCACAACCTTGAAGGTCCACCCCTTTCCGATCAACGGAAACCACCACTACATCCTTCACAGACACAAGATATCAAAGAAATGAACATGTGACTAGCGAGGGGATGCATGATGGTGTCATACCTTCACATTCTTATTCAAGTACGTAGCACACAAAATCATCAGGGCTCGACGTCTAGCTTCGCTTTGATTAATCCCATCAATCAAGCTTGCAGAAAAAAGTGCTACATAAAACCATATACCAAAACAATATAATCTTACAACTTGAGTATATTGTCCTCTCATCCCATATTATCACCTAAAATATAGTTTACTACCAAATGGCATCAACACCAAAAGAAATTCCTGCAAAATTTTCTTCTCGAAAATGTAAATTTGAACTTAAGGACCGTTTTACTAACACAAATTGGGTAAGCGCTAACCGAGTAAAACTGTGGTCTGGGTAAGGAGTTCAGTCTAGATAAGAGCTGACTAAAAATGGTTGTTTATCAAGTGTCTGGGTAAGAGTTGTAAAAGCATTGACCGAGTCAGAAAGCAATCTCTTCCTTACCAGATCAGCATCTCGGTCAACATATTTGAGGGTCAGGGTTTGTGGGTGTACGACATCCCTTCTTGCTGGGTAAGCACCTCTTACGGGTAAGAAGCGGTCAGCAGGTAGTAAACATCTCCTTAAAGTACATATTCGTGAAAAGAAAAAGAATTATTTTCTTTGGGGAAGAAAACAATATGAGAAGTGAGAGACGGCTCCAAAGGTGACAAAAACGACTAGAGGTGAACCCGCTTGTGAGATTTTGTTTTGACACATGAAATTAACAAAAACTATTGCTAATGTTTTTGTAAGTATGGCAAATAGTGACTAGTTGGAAGTGAATCCTAGAAAGGCAGGGGACTACTATTTTATTCTTTTGGAGTGTAGAATATATGCAGGTGTAAACATTATCCATGTGTAGGAAGACACTTACACAAGGGGTCAGCCTTTGATTCCTCCATATCCTTTAAATCTACTTCATGGCTGCTTCCCTTGCCTTCTATGTAAGTGATTGAACTGCATGGTCAAGACTTTGTATTACATGTATGCTAGTATATGCAATATAAGTGTGTATGTGTATGTACCACACATTCAACAGATACAATTCAACAAGTTATAGGACAATCTAATATTTATGCTCACAAGATGCAGTTATAATTTCTGTAGATAAAATATATGTAAAGGCCTATTCCTACCTTATATCAAATTTATAGCTCATGTATTGTTGATCTTCATCCAGTAGCTCTTGGAGATTTTCTCCATGAGATGTAGAGCTGAAATTAGATGAACTTCATATGCCAACGGAATAACTGAACTTCTTTATCGCCTCCCCTTCTGATATTATCGCCTCTCGAAGGCTTTCTGCAGCTGTCTTGACCTGGTAGAATTCCATAAATAAGGATCACATATATAACTAGATGCAAACATAAAGACCATCAGCAATTTCTTTTTCTTAACATCAAAATAGTGCATGCCTCTCAAGAATGCTTGAAATAATTAATCCACCAACAGACTTTCAAGGAGGAAAAAGAGGGGAACTCCTCCATGAAAAGTTATGGGAGGAGACTGTAAATGTTGGTATAATAAAGGAGCCGTTTATTAAACGCTTACTTGGTAAGTGCCTACAGGATAAATTTCCTCATCGGATGAACATGACAATAGCCAAGAATCTTACCGGGTAAGAGCGATGAGAAGGATGGAGAGTCTTACACGGTAAGTGAAGATTACGACTCTTATCCAGGTAAGCGCTTACCCGGTAAATTGTTGCATTCAATACGTTTTGATGTACTAAAATCTTACGCATCAAAATAAATTATAGTGCCGACTCCTATAGGTGAGTACTTACCGGGTAAGCATTTGGGTAAACAGCCCCTAAGTCTTTGTTTCTCATCATTGATGCATTTGATTTAATTAAGGTCCCTAGTCTTACTCTTGTCTTAGCCAACCAGCTTGACAACATCTGGTTCTCCCTCATTGATGCATTTAATTGTATTAAGGTTTGCTATTTTGTCTCATCACTTTCTTGCTTTCTGTTTTTTTATCCTCTATGTTCTAATATCTTACAGTTGGTTCTTTGTACTTTGCAGCATTGCTTTCCTTCCCCCAGTAGCCTTGCAAGCTTCCCTCTCCATCCCCAACACTAGATTTATGCCTGCTTCCTTTACTAGCTCCAAGCACTTCGCCATTTTGTGGATGCCAGCTGACTTCTCGTTCCACATGATATTAGCTTTCCCATCTATACGCCGAGACCCTTTCCTAACAATTCTATGAGTTGACATATATAGATAGTCTTTTTTCAATTTCCGCCAATTAGTCTGAGTTTTCGCCGCCCTTATTCTGCTTAGCAGAATGTCTTACTCCAGTGAACCACTAATGTTGTGTCATTACTTTTTACACACTCCTCACAACTCACTTAAGGTTACTTGGTGGGAATCTCATCTCTTAAAGAGTGTCTTCACTACCATCAAATCTTAGGGCATTCTAAAGTTTAAAAAGATCTACTTGGGCCCTGTTATCATAATCGAAACCTCTATGACTCCTATATGGACCTAGAGTAATGGTCAATACATGGATATCAAAGAGAGATAAAGGGATTAGTTTAATAAGTTGTTCAGTGCAGATAGTGAGGGGAATTACTTGAGCACATGATGAATTATTTTTTTATGACATTAACATGCTTTGAACGAGAATTGAAGTAAAGTACTTGAAATGAAAGATGCTTTAAAGAATCACCAAGGGTAGGATTAAGTTATTGTGGCCTTGTCTCATTACTTTAGTTATGGACAAACTTCCATGGTGTATTTTTTTTTTTTTATCAATGATGCAGTGCTAATTGATGAGGCTGTGTCAAGTGCAAATCAAACAAGATAATGAAAGGAAATAGCCATTTACAGAACGGATTTAGGCTGTCCTATTAAAATAGAATACACGAACTACAACTATAGTGGTGCCGGCATCATGACGAAGACATGATGGGTAAGATGACTAATAGGTACCAAAAAAGGACACCTTATGGTATTTAGAGTTGACACCATAGAAGCATGTAGACACTGGTGGTAAGAGTAGACAGAGGATACATATCCCACTAAAGTTTTAATGTAGATGTTATTATATGGTTTTAATGTCTGCTATGATTTGTGGGGCCAAATGACCTCCAAAAGACAACATATGCACAAGATAAGTGTCAGCAGAAAAGTGAAGTTATTCAATGAAAAGGTAAGGGAGCTGGCTCATACAAAGTGGAACCTGTGCAACACCACTTGAGATGGTTCGGCAACCACCAGTGTGATCTTTGGATGCACCAGTTGGCATAAAAGCACAAAAAGTATCCGATAATAGATAACAGCCCAGCCAAAAACTTGAAGCAAAATAATTTGCATCAACATAAGTAGCTTCAATAATTTAGATTACACAATATTAATAAAACGTTGTCGATCATAGCCCCATAGAACCAAAATGTAAGCGAAGACTGGTTAAGTTATAAGACAGGTAAAACGACAAATACACCTTTTATCTTTAGTTTCTAAAAGTGTACCTTCTTATCACCAAGTGGCACAACTTCACCAATAAGAGCAACCCGATTAGGAGGCTGTATCAATAAGAGATTTTTGGTGTTATGATTGTATCAAGATAATATACTATGGTCTTCAACACTCATTCAAATTTCAGATTGCAAAGCTTTATGGGGTGTTCTATGTGCAAGGTGTTCGTTTTCCAAATTTGATCATTTTTCATAGTTCTTTGGGGACACAGAGAGATAGAGAGAGAGAGAGAGAGAGAGAGAGAGAGTGTGTGTGTGTGTGTGTGTGTGTGTGCGCGTGTTAAGTGAAAGAAAATTAACTGACCAACCTTCTTTAAAGATTGAAGCAAACTTGCAAGTGATCCTGGTATGGGACTTGTGACAGCCAACGAACCACGTTCATCTATAACTGTATTCTTTTTAAGCAAAATGCACAAATCAGAACGCTAGAGGGGCAGCCAGTAAAGTATTGAGCATGTATCCATATTTCATACTTTTAAATAAAAACCCTACAAAAGATTACCAGACCTATGCCAGTCAACTTGTAGTATAAATTATATCATTTCAACAGGTTATTAAGGAACTAAATTATAAGAAAGAGTACACAGAGATGAAAATTGATAACGTTTAGAACTTAGAACGTCATTCTAGGATGATCCTTCTACCTCCCAATACCCCCCCGCCCCTTTTCCTCTCAGCAGAACCAATGCCTCGCGTCAAGGGTTCAGCACCACTTGTCTCTTGAACCCCATTGACACCATTACCAACCATGCCTCAGTGCAAGGGCTCATGCCTGATCTCCCACACCCCTAAAAGGAT